ACCTAGGGGATGGAGCTTAGTGGTCAATGCCCCTGGGTTAAAGCCCCAGTACAAAAAAAAAAAAAAAAAAAGCCAGGTAGCACATGCCTGTAATACCAGGCTGAAACAGGATGACAACAAGTTCAAAGGCAGCTCAGCAACTTAGCAAGGCCCTAAACAACTTAGTGAGATTCTGTTTCAAACCAAGATTTAAAAAGAGCTGGGGATGTAGCTCAGTGGGGAAAGTGTCCCTGGGTTAAATGCCAGTATTGGGGGGGGGGGGGGTTTGAATTGCTCAGGGTAACCTTGCATTTGCCATCCTCCTGCCTCAGTCTTCTAAACAGCTACAATTACAGATGTGCCCCCACTGCGCCCAGTCCTCCTAGAATTTTTACTTTAACTTCTCCAGTCATCTTCCTCAAACCAAGGTAGTGTTCAATCTGCTGCTCCKCTCCTTCCAAATGAAATATAGTGCTCCAGAATCAATATGCCAATACAAATTACTCTGAATGTGGTTATAACAATAGAGCCACTTCAATTCCCAGTATCAAAACTGGGGGGAGGTGTGGGGACACAGCCTTGACAAGGGCTGATTCTACAGGAAGGTACTTTTCCCAAAGATCTTCCATCTTTGACAATGTGCTTCAGATAATTCATCTACTTCATCAATTTTCAAACACAGTAGAGTCAGAAACACAAAATTTTGCTGTACAAACACAGTATCAGTAATAACACAGTATGTTTACTATGAAAAAAGTCACCAGAAGGACAAAATAAGACCAAGGGGGCCGACTTAAAATGCAACAAAAAAGAACACAGCATAAGGGGCTGAGAAGTATAGCTCAAATGGGAGAGTGCTTGCCTCCCATGCACAAGGCCCTGGTTCAATCCCCAGCACCATTAAAAAAAAAAAAATCAGCATGGGGGCTGGGGTTGTGGCTCAGTGGTAGAGCACTTGCCTAGAACATGTGAGGCCCTGGGTTTGATTCTCAGCACCACACAAAAATAAATAAAATAAAGGTATTTTTTAAAAAAAAGCATAAAAGATATTGAAAATAAATAATTAGGAAGAGTTGATGTCTTTTCTAAAGCATACATGTGTTCTGCTTATCCATTAAACAGTTATTTCCTACTTTCTAGAAAAGTTCAAACACCTTAGTACAAAAAACAACACCCTTGACAACCTAAGCACAATCTACCACTCTGAAGTCAGCTCCTACCACTTTTTCCAAGAAACTATGTTCCCATCCTCTTCTACCTTTGCACGAACTATTCTTGGCCTAGGTGCCCCTGTCACCATTCTGTCAAATGCAGCTCAGCCTTCAAGACCTAAGAGTTTCTTGTCTCCACTGAGTTTCTCCCAACATCTCTAACAGTAGTCTCTCTTTTAAGTCCCTTACACTGTTGCCTTTCTCCCACAAATCTCACTTTGTGGACATCCATCTAATCACAAGACTATTATTCACTGTTTGCCTCTACAGACATGCAGAATAAAGCATGAGAGAAAGTAAAGAGATAAGGACACAGATCAAAAGAATAAAAAGGGAAAAGGAAATCTCTATTCATATAGATCACTGCTGACAATAAGCTCCATGGCTCCCATTCCATAGCAAATCAGTAAGCCCTTTCAGAAACAGTGTCTGAAAAGACACTACAGAGAAAGCAATGACAGAGTAATACAGAGGCTGAGTAACCCTTATTCAAAATGCATGAATCCAGAAGCTTTTTGGATTTTTTTAATTTTGGAGGATCTCAGAATATAATGCACATAATGTGTTATCTATCTTGATGACAGGATCCAATCTAAACAAAAAATTCATTTAGTTTTCATATGCACCTTTTTAGTATAGCCTGAAGGTAATTTTATACAATATTTCTAGTGCACCTGCATTTTAACCACAATGCCTCACATGACGTTAGCTTAGAATTTTCCACTTGTTAGCATCATGCCAGCACTCCAAAAGTTTCAAATTTCAGAACATTTTGAATTTTCGGATTGGGGATACTCAACCTATATTAACAAGGAAAATATAACCTAGAGACCTTACACATCTTACCTTCTTCTTCCTTGACTTCTTCACTAGGCTGTCCTGTAAAAGGCTCCTTTATGATAGAATGATCACTTCTGTCTTCTTGGGTAACTGACCCAGGCCTGAGGACAGTTTTTTTCCCTCTCTTTGAGGCACTGGCCTGGAGTTTTCCTTTACCAATGGATATATTAAGGGGATGGGAAGACACCAAGGAAGGTAGGGTGATTTCCTGAGAGATAGCCACATCAACAGCTTCCAAAATTGGCAAATTTGTGTCCTGGATGAGTGTCCTAGAACTTAAAGATGAATCCTCCACACCAAGCTGATTTCCTGCATCCTGCAAAGATTGAACTTCAAGGCCAACTGTTCTGCCATGATTTGGACCCCAGGATATTGACACAGACCCCAAGTCTTTAGTCTGATTAGATTCTGGTTTAACAGCTGACTCTACATCTAAGTTGTCTTCCTCTGGGTTGCCCTTATGCTGTGGAGATTCTGTTGCTGTAGTTCTTCTCTTCTTACACGGCATCATTTTAAAAGTCCCACTTTTATTCCATCCTAAAAGGAAAAAAAAGTTCTTATCAACTTCATATTAATTAATKATAATAACATTTTATCAATTATCTTTTCATTTTATTCACATCCAATCACAAATACAATTCTTTACACAAAATGCACAGTATTCCATTAGGTAGAAGAAGAGAAACAATGATTAGAGTGCCTGAGTTCAAATTCCAACTTTACAACTGATTAGTATGTTACCTTGGCCAAATGATTAAAACTCTGTAAACTTCTTTTTTCTCAACTGTTAAAAAAAAAAAAAAAAAGTTCAAAAATTATTCTCACCTGAATTGTTACAAATATTAAATGGTAGCATAATATTTTTTTAAAAATGTTAAATGGTGGTGATTAATAAATGTGTTATTATTGTTACTATCATCAAGAAGGTAGAACAGTATGATGCTGAAAGCAAATATATACTCTAACTGGATTTGTTTCTCAAGTTAATTTCACTCCAGCTTTGTAATTTTGCATCAATAAATTAACCTAAAGTTTAGTCTCTCCAGCTATAAAATGAAATAAAAAGTGCACCCACATMATTAGCTGGTAAGAAAGATTAATAAATGTTTGCTTCTGATGTATTCATAAACAAGTATATCCTTAACAGAAACAATCCAAAAGCAAAAGCAAAGTGTGCTTAGTTATATTAACACAAAATTTCTGTTGGAACAAGGAAGAGATTTCTACTGTTCTCTCCATTGTTACTTCTGGACTCTTGGCTTCAATTCTAGTTATCATATTGTAAGGACAATAACTAGCCTAAATGCAGCACACCTTCCTTTATATCCTTAGAGCATCTATTTGCAAACTGCTTTTATAGTATTTACTACCTTTGTAATTATATCTTTACTTTTCTGTCTTCTTCCTCCAAAACTATGAGCTTCTTGAGAAAAATGACTCCTTCACCTAGCATCCCTAGTATCCAGTAGTATTTGGATATTGGAAATACTCAATATATGTTCCCTGAGTAAGTGAATGAATGAAAGAGGGCTTGAACGACTGCGCAGCACTTGGATTAAGCATTATGTGAAAACTAACAGCATTGTTCAATCCAGGAATACTTTACTCTCATAAGTAGGCCSAAGACAGAATAAGCTGCCTTGAGTTAACAGAGGGTTCTCCATCAATGACAATATTCAACCGAAGTCTGAATGCCCACCTAATAGGGAAAGCCTGGAAGCCTGGACTACCTCTGAGAGTTTGACCTGTAAGAATAGTATTAAACCTCCTTCATTTACAGATGAGTTACTGAGGGCCAGAAGAGAAAAGGAAGAAATTAGAAAAAGCAAAAGCTGCTACTATTCAGTCAGGAGCGTGCAGGGGTCGGCTCCAAGCAAATCACACACTGCAGTAGCTCAAGAGTCCACTCCCTCGGGAGCCTGAGTCCGACCCCAGGATGAATGAATGCCGGTCCAGAGGCAGCCRAGGCGCGGCCTCCTCCAGGGAAAGCTTTTCAAAAAGAGGTCCAAAATGCGCTATTCGCCTCGGCGCCAAGCGCTGGCCAAGTCCACAATACCAACCAGACAACGTCTCGCCCCCAACTCCCATCGCGCACCCGGCGCCCACCTGCCCACCCGACGCCCCTCATCCTGGACACCCTATTCACAGGCGCCCCGGATCCCACCTGCTTCTTCCCGCCCCACCGCGCACTACCCAGTACCCTCACAAACCGACCTAATCCCGCGGAAACTCAGCTCCTGCACCAGCGGAAGTCAGGCAACGGCAGCGACTGACGTGCGCGCCCCCGAGTCGCGGTGGGCGGCGACTAAGAAAGTCAAGGAGCATGCGCAATATGCTAGGCGCCATCCTCTTCAGGGTCAAATGAAGCCAGCGCTAGTACGTCGGTTACTGGCAAAAAAAATTAAAGGCATGACTTCGCTTTTTCTATCGATGAAACTATCTTGCTCAAAACTGGGGATTGAGATTCAAAACATCCCTACATCCCTACGAAACTTCAGGGACATAGGAAGAAACCAAGACCTAAAATTTCAGAAAGAGGGATCTAGATTATAAACAATACTAGTTCCTGCCGGCGCCGCGCCAGTCTGTAATCCCAACCACTCGTGAAGCAGGAGAATCGCGAGTTCAAAGCCAGCCTCTGCAAAAGCGAGGCTCTAAGCAACTCAGTAAAATAAATAAAATATAAAATAGGGCTGAGGGTGGTAAAGCGCCCTTGGATACAATTCCTGGGGGGAAGGGGGCCCAGATTCCTAAATAAAACTAAGGCCAATTGGGGCACAATAACACACACCTCAACAGAGGGAGGTTGAGGCAGGAGGGTCGGAAGTTCGAAGCCAGCATGGCAATTTGGCGAGACCCTGTATCAAAATAAGAAAGAAAAAGGCTGGGAATGTAGCTCAGTGGTAGAGCGTCCCTGGATTCCATCCCCAGTAAGGGGTGGGGGGCTGGGACCAGCACGACAAAACAAAGGGCGATTTGGATTCAAATTACAGCAAAATTATTTAGATCTATATAATACTCTTCATTTTTAAAATGCTTTCATTTACATCATCTTAGATAGTTTGGAATTCAGAATAAACTGTGAGCCAACGGACATTATTAAATTTTCCAGTTTGCAAAGGACAAAATTCTGGCTTAGCTGAATAGGTGATTTTGCCTAGGTACACCCTAGGAAAATCAAGGGCAATCAGGCATCTGGTATCCTAAGTTTATCTCCTAATGCGTGACTCATGAAGGAAAGTTTCTGGGGGCATAGTCAATATTCAATAATTCGATACATGTATTTTGAATGAATGAATGACATCTAGGACCAGGGTCTTGTGTGTGTGTGTGTGTGTGTGTGTGTGTGTGTGTGTGTGTGAACTGGGGCTTGAGCCCCAGAGGCGCTTTACTATTGAGCTATATCCATATCCCCACCCCTTTTCGGTTTCGGTGAATTCCTTGGGGGCCTCACTTAATTGCAGAGGCTGGCTTTGAACTTGCAATTCTCATGCTTCAGCCTCCACACTCCTGGTTCTTTCCACTTTTCTGGAAGGCAGAATGTCCAAACTAGGAAAATGCGACAGGCTTAGTGGCGCACTCCTGTAATTCCAGCAGGTCGGGAAGCTGAGGCAGGAGAATTAGAAGCTCAAAGCGAGCCCAGCAATTTAGGGGACCCTGTTTCAAAATAAAAAGGGATGGGTATGTAGCTTAGTGGTTAAGTACCATTAGGTTCAATCCCCGGTATATCCCTTCCCCCTCAAAAAAAGTATTTCGCTCCCTCATTTTACAGGTGAGCAAAATAAAGGGTGAAATTAATGTAATCATGGCTGTAATCGCCAGTAGTTTGACGAGAATCACATTGTCTCATAAATTAGCAAGGAAGTGTCCAAAAGTTTGGAAGTTTCATTTGGGTCCTTCTTTTTTTTTTTTTTTTTCAAGTGAGGGGAAGACAAGAGGTCTGGGAAGACAAGAGGTCTGGGGATCCTAAGTTGCCCTGACTGGCCTCCAATGTATAATCCTCCTGCCTCGAACTTTGGATAGCTGGAATTACAGGTATTTTCCACCGTTTCTGCCTTGTGTCTTTTTGACCTACAAAATACACAGATCCTTTGGGTTACTGCTCCTACTCCTCCTTTCCTATTCAACCCTAAGCAGTTACCGCTAATAGAAGAAGAATATTCAACACTAATTAGGCACTTTAACACTAATTCAACACTTAGGCATTTTCATAATTTTTTTTAATGGTGGGTTGTTTTTTTTTTTTTTTTAATTTGTAAACCACAAAAATCCATCAGTTTTCCATAAAGAGTTCAATGATTTTTGTAAATTTTCAGAACTATTGCACCTCCGCTCCAGGTTTGGTCTTTAATCAGAGTTTCTAGAGTTTTCCACAATTACCTTCAGTGGTCTCAGAAATGTGAGACAATAATGGCAAACAGATACTGAAATCCAGGCAGTATAGGATTTTTCCAAAAACCTGAACCCAGAACATTCTGCTCCTATAAAACACCCCTGAGAAGCAGAATTAAAGAATCGATGGACTCTCATAGAATAATCTACCTACACTTTCTCCCTGCCCCGCCTCCAGAGCCCAGGGTACTGGGAATTGAACCTAGCGGCTTTTTACCACTAAGTTGGCATCCCAGCCCTTTTTTATTTATTATTATTTTTTTAATATATCAAGTCAAAGTCTTGCTAAGTGCCCGAGACTGGCCTTGAACTTGAAACCCTTCTGCCTCAGCCTCCCGAGTAGCTGGAATTACAGCTGGACCCTCCTACCCTTCTTTCTCTGATTTAGGGACTTTCGCCTCAGTCACCCACGGCCSGCCAGTGGGCGGGACCTCTCGCTCAGGAAAACTGGGTGGTGGGAGGGGYTCCCTTCGGAGGTCTTCCGGAAAGGGGAGGGACCTGCACTCCGGAACCTTTCGGACAGAGGCGGAGTCTCCTACCGAGGGCCTTTCGGAAAAAGGCGGAGCCTATCTCTCATCAGGACCAGTCTGACTGCACCTGCATCCTTGGCTCAGAGCATCCCTGGAGCATCTTAAGAGGAGGGCGCAGCTGGCAACCAGGGATCGGACCGTCGCAGGGGACGTCCGCCAGATACCTTCCCCCTCCCCTGACCGACAGCTCCACAGCGGCGACCTCGGTACTGACCAGGGGTTCCCAGAGTTGTCTGACCATTACGAGAGCATTTATAGCCACAGCCTCTGATTACGACATGGCTGAGATCACCAATATCCGACCTAGCTTTGGTAAGTAGAGTCGGGAAAACTAAGCTTGAGGTGGTCAGAACCGTGGCAAAGCCACAGGGCCCGGCCATGGGCTGGGAGTGAAGCCCAGACAGAGCTTCAAAGTGCCAACCCTGCTGGGATCGGGCCCCTGGTGGCGGGTAGCGGGGAGTGGACGGCGCCTGAACTTGAGCTGTGGGCTGCAGGGGCTGGCGAGGCCCGAGCGACGGCGAGGGCGGGGAAGTCCAGGGTGCAAAAACCTGGTGTGGTGCACTGTCAGCACTGCTGGAGGTGAGAACCGGCGACGGTGCGGAGGACGTGAACCCTCCTTCTGGGGGAGGAGAGGTGGGGTAGGCCGAGCCCTCCCCCTTGGGGCACGCAGGGCGGTGCCCCTACCTCCCCCTCCCACTTCTAAGGACTGCGGGGGAGGGAAGTGGCCAGGGGGATGGGGCATCAAGATGGCAGCTTGGAGACCGTGGGCTGTCTGGCTGGCAGCCAGGGGAGGCGGCGGCCTCTGGGGAAGAGGGGTGCGGGGGTGGGAGCAAAAAGGAAGCCACTCCTTAAACCGGTCAGCTGGATGCTGGTTCTGGGAGGAAACGKGAACCCTGCAGGCTCCATTCTGCCTCGTAATGGTGGGGTCCGACTGATGCTACCAAATGGCGCTAGGCGCTGCTGGGCTGGGGGATGAGGATGACGTGATGTCTATTTCTGGGCCTCCTGGCAGCGCCTAGGCTCTCCTTCCGGGGCCTTTGTTCCCTGTTTCCCCGGGCTAGCTTTTCAAAAAGGGGACTCACCCGCGCGGGTGCTGGCGGGGGTGCGTTCCAGGCCCGAGGGGGAGGGGCGAGAGAGGCCCAGCCCTGGGGAGGCCGCTTTGTGTACCAGAGAAAGCATTACGTCATCTCGGAGCGGCTGGTCCCGGACCCAGCCCTGCGAGCTTCAAGATCAGTTTTACACTCCTGGGGCAAAAAAAGTGAGTGAAAAATAGAGAAAATGTGAGAGAAAGACAAGGTTAAGAAGCAAGTTTTTTCCTCTTTGGGAATTCCTCCAAAACGTACTAGGAGAGCAAACTTCTTAGGCTGTGCTTTCCTGGTCAAAAAAAATAAATTAAATTGCCCTGCTCCTTCCTCTCTTCTGCTACAGTTTAGATTGGGGAAAGCGAATTAGAGTTGCTGCCAGACTAAGAACCTTCCTGTCCCTTAGGGTTTCTATCCTTCAGACAGAAGGTTTGAGGCATCAGATTTCAGTATTTAGGATAGGCACATGAGCCAGATAGAAAATGGCTTTTCTCACTCCCCAGTAAGAACGATATGGAAAAGAGCAGACTTTTAATGTTCTCTAGCCCCTGGAAATAAGGAAGAACAATCAGACTAGGGGAAATAGCCAAGTAACAGATCTTCACACCCAATAACTGCTTGTTCCCATCTATTCCGCATGGCTGAATCTTGATGGTATTTCTTTCTTCCCCTTCACCTTCTGCATCTCTATTCTGAGTCCTAAGTTTCTAAAACTGAAGTCCCTTTTTTGTGATCACATAAGCAACCCATGATTTCTTCCTGCTGTTTTTCTCCTTATGTCCTCTTTCCAAAAGATACCTTTCTCTAAGTGCAGTTCCAGAGTCCTTGAAAAGTAGATGATGTAGAATACAATACAGTTATTTCCTTTATAGGGAATAATAGTAGAAAAGGGGAAAATACATGTCAGCCATTTGCTTATAACATTCTATTTCCTCCTAAAAAGTACCTTCTGTTGTAGGTATAATTACATAACAGGTAAGCATACAAGCTCAAGGAACTTGGCTAAAGTCAAAGGAACTAGTGAGGGTAGTGCTAGAATTGAATCAATGTCTGATGCCCAAATTCATTCTCATTGTACTATATTATGGCCAACTAGACAGTGAAGGGCTATGTTTAGGAAAAGAAGTGTAAATAAGCTGGTGTGAGCTGGTTGTGTGGCATAAGCCTGTAATCCCAGCAACCTAGGAAGCTGAAGCAGGCAGATCCAAATTTAAGGATGGTCTCATCAATTTAGTGGGGTCCTAAGCAACTTAGCAGAACTCTGTCCTAAAATTTAAAAAATAAATAAAAAGAGCTGAGAATGCATTTTAGTGACAAAGCAGCTTTGATTTCAATCCCCAGTAAACCACCCCCCACTGCCAAAAAAAATCAGGCCTTCTCAAAGATGAAGTAGCTAGAGTAGTTGGATTTGGCCCAGATGTGTCTTGCAATTCTCTAGACACTTACAGAGGGTCTCCTCCATAGAGAACTACTGCTTCTGGCTTCTGGCTTCTTCACAGCTCATTGAGTACTTCATTTAAAACACTCAGAGCATTAGGTGAACACACCAAGCCAACAGTAAATTATCCATGACCTTGAAGGACAAAAGGAGCAAGCAACACAGGTCACTGCAATGTACAGCCACTTTAAATCACTCACTTCAGTCATTAATTCCAACTTCCTTTCCCACCAAGCTTTCGAGTAAAGCAAGACAGAAGGCTTTGAGTTTCAGCATATCAGATTTTTCTCGTTCACTGCCTTGGGTGTTGAGGACAGAGGCAGGAGTTAACAAGTTCTGAAATAGAGAAAGTAGGGCAAAGGTGGGAAACAGGATGAGGGAGCGCACCTGGGTAATCTATAGATGGGTTCATCTGTTTCTCTTCTTTCCTTCTCTGTCCTAAATTATGAGACTCTTTCATCTCTCTTTGCCACCTCGTCTCCATTTTCTTGAAAAAGTGGGTGTATTTAAGCAGCAGTTAGTTCCTTCACAATCCCAGAGTAAATCTATGCTAGTGCCAGAAGAATTGCACAGATGTTTTCCAATCTGGGCCTTTAGTCTTCCCTTTCAAATCATTCTCAAAAATATACCTTTCTTTGTAGTTGTCAGCTTTTCTCTTTTTACAGGCAATTAGTGTTGAGTTTCACTAAACAGTAGAAAGCAATTTGTAGGAAAGCCCCTGATTGAGGAATGAAAAGCCACTCCAGATTGTGGCTGATCTGATTGACAATGAGAATCTAATCAGTTGTTCAAATATTTACTGATCTCCCATTAGATGTATAAGACTCTCTAAGGGATTCAGAGACAAACAAAGTGTTATTCCTGCTTGCCCTCAAGGAGCTTACCACCAAGGATGCCTCCAGTTTTTGAAAACCCCCTAAAAACTGCATATTTCATTTCATATTTGAGACGGAACTGTATCCATGGACATAGACATAGTTACATTAATTTATTTTGGTAATGATGGTTTTGGGGGTTGGAGGTGTAGCTCAGTGATAGAGCATTTGCTTAGTATGTGTAAGACACCTCAAAGAAAAATAATAATTGTTTACTCCTCAGATATATCATTTTAAAACGTAACCCCTTCTTTTTTTATTGATTCCCAACTTTTGTAGAGCCATGGAATGTTGGGGTAGAATTTTTGAGCCATCTATTCCAATTCCTGTTGAAGAAATTCCTTTTCAATCATGCCTGAATTATCATGATCCAACTTCTTTGTTTGAAATTTTTCTATTGGAGAATAGTTCTCATCAAGCCATCCAGGTTACTATGAGGCAGTTATTTGTTTTTGTCTTGATTTGGGTTTTGGTACTTGGGATTGGKCACAGGGATACTTTACCACCAAGTTACATCTCCATCCCTTTTTTTATTTTGAGACAGGGTCTCCCTAAGTTGCTGAGATATTAATGACCCTATTCAATGAGTTCTTTGATTCAGACATATCCCTGGCAGGGACATGATAAATGCACACACACACACACACACATACATACACATCAAAAAAAAAAGAAACAGCAGTTTTATTATTATCATTGCTATACAGAATGTTCTGTATGTGCAGATGAAATTATATCTGGATTTCATGCTTATGGTACAAGTTGATTTAACCTAAATTTTTTTTTTTTTAAGAGAGAGTGAGAGAGGAGAGAGAGAGAATTTTTTTTTAATATTTATTTTTTAGTTCTCGGCRGACACAACATTTTTGTTGGTATGTGGTGCTGAGGATCGAACCCGGGCCACACGCATGCCAGGCGAGCGCGCTACCGCTGAGCCACATCTCCAGCCCAGATTTAACCTAAATTTAATCCAAGCCTCTGCTCACCGAAACTACTAAGTCATTTTGTCCAACTTTATCAAGTGAGGTTATTGCCAATAGGTAGGTTTTTAAGTCCAAGTAGATTTATTTATATTTATCCCTGATATGTAATCATACTGACCTCATCCTCGTTTTCTGATCTCTGGAGGTTAGTTTGAATTAACTAACTCAGTTGTTCATTGAGCAATTACTATAGACCACATGGTTCTAGAACCTGAGCTGTGAACAAAACAGGCAATGTCACTGTTATTAAACTTATCTAGTGAGGGAAGCTAGACAAACATAAGTCAGGGTAATAAACACTATGACGAAAATTAAGGAGGGTAATAGGGATATTTTCTCACTTGAGGCAGACAGGAAATCCTTCTCTGATAAAGTAGGGTTTGAGCAGAGCCCTGTAGTAAGTGAAGCAATAAGCCATGTAGACACCTGGGAGAAAGATGTTCCAGGAAAAATATGGAATATGCTGAAATCACATTTATTTCCTTAGCTCTCCCTGTCTCCCGAGTCTTTCCTTAAAAAGTAAAGTGAGGGCTGGGGCTGTAGCTCAGTGGTAGAGCCTGGCATGCGTGAGGCCCTGGGTTCAATCCTTAGCACCACATAAAATAAATAAATAAACAAACAAACAAAATAAAGGTACTATGTCCGTTTACAACTAAAAACGTTAAAAAAAAAAAAGTAAGGTGAAAGCTACTAGCCCTTTCTAGATCTATAAAAGCCAAAACCCAATTTCCCTTCAATGAACTTGAGATAAAGGGAGGAGCCCAAACCTGATTATCTAAAGCAGGGTCCAGTAGTTGTGGAAAGAGACAAAATGAGGAAAAGTGAAGATTAAAAAGATCTGTTTCTCATTAGTTATTTGTTCATCAAACACATATATACCCACTGTATTTTAAACGCTGGGGATATAGCAATGAACAGAGCAGACAGAAAGTCCTACCCTCTTGAGGCTCACATACTAGAGAAGATAAAACAATAAATAGTAAAATTATGGGTGGTGTATATATTTGTTTTTCTTACAGATGTGTGTATTTTTCTTGCATGCATGTACAAATATGTGAGAGATAATGATGAGGCATATGAAAACATTAAACAGGACGAGGAAGTGCAGGTGTTGAAGGTGAAGAAGGTTGTACTTTTTAAATAGGGTAATCAACACTGGGGGTGCCTCTCAGTGGTAGAGTGCTTGCCCAGCATGCAAGAGGCCCTGGGATACATCACTAGCACCATGATAAATAAATCAGTAGGGTAGTCAGGAAAGATCTTGCTAAGAAGGGGACATTATGATGTGATGTTTTCCCCAGTCCCTATTTCTTTCTATTTAAAATACTTTAAATATCTTGGAGCTGAAATTTTGGAATATATTTTGAAAGTATGCAGATCCAGAGTTGTTTTAACTACCCATAGTCTTATATTGCCCTTGGTCATCCCACCAAGACCATCTAAATTTAACGCTACAACTTCCCCCACAACCTGGCAGTCTACACCGGATCACTGTTTGCAAACCCTGTACTGGGTGCTATGGAATGTCCTCCTAAAGCCAAAGTTGCAGCTTATGCCCTTGTATAAGAGTTGAGGTGAACAGGTCCCCAGGGAGAAAGGTGACCTTAGAATATAGACAGAGCAGCTTTATGGGAAGCACAAATCAATATGATCAAACCAAGTCTGTAACTACTGAGAGAAGATCAAGAAAAGAACAGAGAGACAGGTGGGCACTTCAAAGAAAGCTAAACATCTCATCCAGGTTTGGCAGAAAGGAAAAGGCATGAATTGGATGGAGAGGGTGGGTGAAGGCATCTCTAAGAGAAGGGAAAAGCTCCAAAGACCAAATGAGTACCTTCTCCTTCAAAGGATAGGTAGCAGGTTAGCTTGGCTCCAGCAGAGGCACTGAGCGGGAGGCTCTGGACAGGGGTTGAAATCCACCTGCCTTGACGCATCTCTGGTCTCTGCCTTCAGATGTGTCACCAGTGGTGGCCGGCCTCATCGGGGCCTCTGTACTGGTGGTGTGTGTTTCAGTGACTGTCTTTGTCTGGACATGCTGCCATCAGCAGGCAGAGAAGAAGCACAAGACTCCACCATACAAGTTTATTCACATGCTCAAAGGCATCAGCATATACCCAGAGACCCTCAGCAACAAGAAGAAAATCATCAAAGTGCGGAGAGACAAAGATGGCCCTGGGAGGGAAGGTGGACGAGGGAACCTGTTGGTGGATGCAGCAGAGGCTGGCCTGCTGAGCCGAGACAAGGATCCCAGGGGGCCCACCTCTGGATCTTGTATAGACCAATTGCCCATCAAAATGGACTATGGGGAAGAACTGAGGAGCCCCATTACAAGCCTGACCCCTGGGGAGAGCAAAACCACCTCTCCATCATCTCCAGAGGAGGATGTCATGCTAGGATCCCTCACCTTCTCAGTGGACTATAACTTCCCGAAAAAAGCCCTGGTGGTGACAATCCAGGAGGCCCATGGGCTGCCAGTGATGGATGACCAGACCCAGGGCTCTGACCCCTACATCAAAATGACCATCCTTCCTGACAAGCGGCATCGGGTGAAGACCAGAGTGCTGCGGAAGACCCTGGACCCCGTGTTTGATGAGACCTTCACCTTCTACGGAATTCCTTACAGCCAGTTGCAGGACCTGGTGCTACATTTCCTCGTCCTCAGCTTTGATCGCTTCTCTCGGGATGACGTCATTGGGGAGGTGATGGTGCCATTGGCTGGGGTGGATCCCAGCACAGGCAAGGTACAACTGACCAGGGACATCATCAAGAGGAACATCCAGGTGAGGAGGAAGAGCATGTTGGGGAGGGAAGGTGGGTTGGGGGAAACAAGGGGATAGGGAAGGATAGCAAAAAGGGCTATAGAGAGGTTAACGCAAGTTCTTGGTTATCAAGGATAAGCAGTGGTCAAAATAAAACAGAGGTCGTGGCGGATTACTTCCTCCAAGGGCTGGGGATGTAGTTCAGTGGTAAAGCATTTGCCTCGCAAGCATGAAGCTCTGGGTTCAGTGAAGCTCTGGGTTCAATTTCTAATACTTAAAAGTGAAGAGGAAAAAAAAAAAGATTTAATTCCTCCAAGAAGCAACTTTTAATAGTAAAGCACAGTGGCACTCTACTTTCTAGCTTACAAAGTAGCAACGAGGCCAGGTGCAGTGGAAAATGACTGAAATTTTAGCAATTGGGAGGTTGAGGCAGGAGGAATGCAAATTCAAGGCCACCCACCCTCAGCAACTTATAAGACCCTGTCTCAAAAAATGAACAAGATTGAGGATATAGCTTAGTGGTAAAGCACCCATGGATACAATTGCTAGTACCAAAAAATAAATAGAATTTTTAAAATATCTCTTTAAAATTTTTTAAAAATATTTCATATAAGGAGCATATGGAAATACCTCTCATAGGGCATGAGTTAAGTAAACTTAGCCATCAGTGTTTTTTCTGTCTCTCTGTCCTCTCTCTTTTTATTATTTTACTTTGATTTTGTTTTTTATGGTACTGGGAATCTAACCCAGGGCCTTGAGCATGCCGGGCAAACACTCTGTCACTGAGCTACACCCGCAGTCCCACCCTTTAGATTTTGAAATTGAAGTTCAAGAGGAAGTAGGCTTTTAAAAAGATTTTCATGGTTTTTCTCTGCTAGATTAAAGCCCTGCATTTTGTCCTTACTCATAACATACATATTGTCAGTTCCTGATTGTATCCATGGGAAGTCCCCACGGCCAGTTTAAAATCACAGGCTGGTTGCCCTTGCCAACCAGAATGCTTCTGGGCTGTTTCATTTTGCAACTTGTCAGAATGTGATCAGAGAACATAAACTCACTATGGGCCAAAACCAAATGGAAAGCAATCCCTTGTGAAAAAGCAAATGAAATGTCTGCTAAAACATCCAGAACCAAGCTGTTTTGAGCTAGGGGTGTGGCTTACTGGTAAAGTGCTTGCCTAGCCAGGGTGAGGCCCTGGGTTCAATCCCTAGCACAACAGAAAGAAAAGAAGAAAAAGAAAACCTCAGCCATCCAATATGGTAGCCATTAGCTATGTGTTTATTTAAGTTTTAACTTAAATTCCATTAAAATTTTAGTTTCTCAGGCTGGGGATATAGCTCAGTTGAGTGCTTGCCTTGCAAGCGCAAGGCCCTGGGTTCGATCCCCAACACTCACACGCAAAAAAATTTAGTTTCTCTATCACACTTGCCATATTTCAATTGCTCGATAGGCACATGTGTGTAGTAACTACCATATTGGCCAGTCCTAATATAGAACATTGAACAGCACTGATCTAGAAAGAATTTTGGTATTGAGGATTGAACGTAGGGGAGCTTTGCTGTGGAGCTACATCCCCAATCGTTTTTTTTTTTTTTTTTTTTTTTGGAAAGGTCCCCCTAAGTTGTTTTCATTAAATCCTCCTGCCTCAGCCTCTTAAGTTGCTTTGAAAACACCATCTTTTTACCTCTAGACAGATCAGTTGATTAATTTGGCTACTGCTCCTCTCTGTTTGCATGGAAAATAAAATGTTAACTAGGTTTAATGTCTATTTCTAGGGCCATGCTTGAATACTGAGT